AGCCTATGTATTAAAAACATTCAATAAAGAAATACTATATTAATTTTTTTATTTATTTAAACATTTTATTTTATCATACCCTCCGATATTAATATTAATATTAATATTTTGTTTTTCAAATGTGCGTAACGATCTTCAAGCCAATAAAATTTAATTTTTGCGTGATATCTGGAATGGAGATCGTCACAAAATTTAGCCAATGAAATCAAATGTCCACTATGCTAACAATAATGTCAATCAAAAAATAAAGTATACATATATAAAAATATATAAATAAAAATTGCATCAGATAAAGACATGAAACTAAGGGAAATTATAGTAAATAGATTAAGCTTTTAGATTACAGAGAGTTCTAAATAAAAAAAATTTTTTTATATATTCTAAAGAAATTGAAAAAGATTGCTGGTAGAAAAACTTTATTATTATAACCAAATGGGATAGGGAAAAAGCTCTCTGTAACTTTATTATAGAAGACTTAAAAACAATAAAACTATAAAAGGTTTTGTTTAATTTTATTACAAAAAAAAAAGTTATCATGGTTTAAAGTTATTCAATTTATTATTAAATTTTACCATAAAAATTTACATCGCAACTGATAAATTAATAGAAATTTCTTTTTATAATTCATGTTTTCAAAAAAATATATTGTTGGTTGAATTTTGTTATCAACATTTACAATGTGTTGAAATATATGGTAAGCACATAATAATTTGTTATATTGATGTGATGTAACATATGTTTGATGATTAACAGCCATCAAACACTGGGGTTTTACAAGTTATAATAAACACAAACATAGTTGAGCACACATAAAAAATCATATGTGCGGATTTTTTGCTGATCAATATATGTAAATTTTTTCAATATGAAAATTCAAACTCTATCTCTAGATTTGTAAAATAAACCTTTGTTTAAATTTGATATATGAACATTACATAACACATACTTCAAAGCAATGGTTTTGTTTTTTTAATTTTTTGTTTAAAAAAAATATGCTCAAAAATTTTTTTTTAAAAATCTACAACCATTAAGTGAAAGAGCGAGTTTCAGGCTTTCGTCTGTTATTATTTTTATAACTGTAGGTGCAATATTGGTGGATGAGATAGATTTTGAAATTTTGTAGAGATTTATTAATATAATGGATTTATGGTGATCATCACATTTACACATTATACACACCCCTACAAAAAGTATCGACTCACTTGATGATCTGCCAAAATAATTGAATAGACGGGTAATACAAATAATCGTTTTTTTACTAAAAAAATCAATGTTGTGTATTAGTAAGAAAATGTTTGTTGAAATAATTACCATAACACTTTAAAATATCGCATTGGGATGATTGTTATTGATAATTATATGATGTTTAAAAGTCAAATTAAAATTTTTCGAAAATTTTTCAAAAAAGTAGCACTTAGAGCTATTTTA